GGGAAAGACAAAGGGCAAAGGGACACGGAGAAACTGAAGACAGTCACCAGAGACAATGCGCTGCGCTATACCGTAGTAAAGTGGAGTCTGCCCACATCACCCGTGTGCAGCCAGAGCAAAGCCTCGGAAAGCAGATGCACATAAGCAAGTCATGAAGGCTTATTCCAATCACTGCTTTAGGCTCAGCTGAGGCAGAAAGCTGGACTCGAGCCCCCAAATCTTACACAAAGTCTGCAGCAGGTATTCAGCAAAAAGCCTATGCCAACTGCAGAAAGGGAGTGAGCGGCTTAAACCCAGTCCTAGAGACCAGGTCCTGGTCTCTGGGGTCTCCATCCCTGCAGCCACAAACACTGAGCCGGTTGTGCCTCACACCTCCAGCACTGCGGCAGAGGAGCAGGATTTTACTCTCCAGAGCCCTGCTTGGCTGACCCTGCTCGAGGACTGTCCTGCTCACCACGAGCGCTGGGAACAGTTCCCCTCCCCAAAATAACTCCAGCGCACATTCGAGTGCCAAAGGGAAACAATTCTCACATGCTGCCGCCCTGCAAAATGCTTCTAGCTTGTCTACTGCCAGTGGCAGCGCCCGCCTCTCCTGTACCCCAGGTTGACGCTGTGTTGCAGCCTGGCGCTTGTGGCTGAACGGTCTCAGCTACAAGAAGTTTGAGTGTTTGCAGTAGATTATGACAAGGAGGAAAGGAAGCAGAGAGTCCATGACCCCATATCCCTCTTTCTCTGATGGGCACACGGCAGCTATGAAAGAAGAGGCTGCTGCCTCTAATACAGGGGTGGGCAAAATGCAGCCCGCCAGGCCATTCTATCTGGCTCGCGGGGCCCCCACGGAATTTAGAAAATTAATATTTGTCTGCCCCTGGCTGCCTGTCATGCGGCCCTCGATGGCTTGCCAAAACCCAGTAAGTGGCCCTCTGCCCAAAATAAATGCCTGCCTCTGCTCTAATAGGACCTTCCAAAGGGCCCAAACGAGCATCCCCGGGCCCGTGGTGCTGTCAGTCGTACTGTTCCCGATGTGCCACATGGAGCAAGACAGTACAAGCTCTCCTAGGAAGCTGGGCTGCCAGCAGACCCACCACCCTGTCTGCCTGAAATACTCCTGGCATGCTAGCTTCGTGTTAGTTCAAAGGAGTGGTTCAGCAGAATAATTTCTGGATTTCTATCCACCACAACACAGGGCACTTAGCAGCTTCTCCCCTGAGCTCCTGTTTCATACAACCAGAGAGAAGTGTTGGAACAACTTACCTGGAAAGAGGGCACCTGCACTTTAAAGATGCTGCACTACATCTCTGCACACCTGAAGCATTACCCCATGTTCACATGCACCCAGTTGACGGGGTTAGTGCCTATAAAAGCCTCATGTACATTAATGAGGCATCCTTCTAGGAGCTCTGGTACGAAGAACTAGGGGTTGTGGCAGTCACCCCATCACTAAAAAAGCCTTCTTCGCAGGAACAGACTCCGAGGCAGGCAAGTGGTTTATGTAATGTTAAGGGTGTATCATGCTTTGCTGTCACGTCCAGCCCATTCCTAGGTGGACTCGCCGCCTCCCAGAGCTGATCACAAAGGAAGACAGGCTGAAAGAATCAAGAATAAAATGCACGGGGCTCTGCCCTGGTCTATACAACATCTGGGCTGATAGAGGCAGAGGTGACTAACACCTGATCCCCTTCGGGGTCGATTCCTACACCAGCATAAGGCACCTTTTACCATTATGAATCCATCCACACCGAGGTGGAGAGGGATGTTGTGTTTATCCCTACCACACTGCCCTGTTCAGTCAAAGCAGCCCGCCTGCACATCCAGACAAACCCTCCGGCGGCTGGGTGCCTGGTGCTCAGTCCTTTTTAGCACCGGAGAGGGACATGGTCCCTTTCGGCGTGCAAAGGAAACAGGCGGGGAGATGTCTGCTTTGGGATGTCTGTCCCGGGGGTGCTGGCGACTGCTTGGGCTGGGAGGGAATCCCCTCTCCCCCCTCCTCCTTTCTACTACAGGTCTCCCCCTGTACTAACCACCGAACAGCACAAGGCACTAGGAAACAGGCTGAAGAGCTGAACTACTCTGGAGTTGCCCAGCAAAGGGGACAGCGGTCGCGGCCGGCAAAGGATGCCACAGGAGGCATTTCTAGGACGGCCAGAAGTGCTGCAGCAAGTTCAGAGCAGTCTGGTTTCTTTTTCCGGAGACTGGTTTCCTCTCCCCACTGCCGACAAGCAGCACATGAGACCCAGGGGTGCTCTCTTGGGCACCAACATCTCAAGTGCCCGGAGCCGGACTTTCTTCCCCAGGACGCGCTGGGTGCAAGCCCCCTCCTCCCACCCAGGCTCCCTGGGTCTGCTCGGGGCGCACCAACCCCTCCAGCTCCGGGGCTCACCGAAGAAGGGTGGCAGGTGTGTCACAGCCTCCAGGAAGGGCTCGGTCTCGATCTGCTTGTCGGCCGGCAGCACCTTGAACTCGTGCTCCAGCAGCAGCGCCATGACCGGCCCGGGCGGGACTGCCGGGCAGAGCAGGGGAGAGCTCCCAGGGAGGAGGCGGAGGAGGAGGCGGGATCGGGGCGGGAGCTGCTGCAGCCCTAGGGGAAGTCCATCCTGCTGGGGATGTCCCTCCCCAGGGTGCTGTCTGCTGCAGGGCCGGGAGGGAATCCCCTCTCTCCTCTCCTCCCTTCTGCTACAGAGGCTGGGGATGGGGACCCCATGCCAATGCTCCTGCTGGGGCTGAAACTCCTGGGGAGAGGGTCAGCCACATTTGGGGTCCCCTCTTGGTCCCATTGACATGGACTTGGGAGCAGGGATGTGTCCGAGGAGAGGGGGCACAGCTTTTACTTGGGATCTCTGGAGCATTTATTCATAACCTCTTACCCAAGCAGGACTGTGGTGGTCTCCCTGTGGCAGCACAGCGGGTTATGTCTTGACAGTAGTTTTACTCGGGGGTGATTTGTACAGGATAGTTAGGACGGAGCTGATCCTGCCTCAGGAGGGCCCTTTCAGCCCCAGTTCTGTGATTAAATTGTTAAACTGTCATTTGTGACTGAGCTCCCACAATATCTTTCTCCTAAAGACCCACCCTCCCCTTCCTTGCTGGATGCAGGGATGGCACAACCCAGCTGTTGTGAACACAACAAGGGAAACAATTCTGATGGCACAGTCACTCAGTCGTGGCTTGCATGTGACATTTAGCTCAGTTTGAGCTACCTGCTTACTCTACAACCCGCAGGAGTTTGTATTTGCTAGGGGCTGGATCTGTGTTTTCTTCGTGACATGCCCAGCAAGGGTGAAAGTGGCTGGAAAAAAAAAATGGAGGAAAAACTAAGACTCCAAAGTACAGGGTCTTCATGAAGTCCTTGTGCACAACCAAAGTTATTAAAGTTTACAAGTGCACAAGGACCTTATGAAGGCCCTGCCTTTGGAATATGCTTTCACTTCAAATAATCCACTGTTGAGTTCTCTTTGCTAGCCTAGGATGTATGCACTCTGTTCTCTTTGACAATTTAATCAGCCAGGTCAAAAGTTCAGGTAGTTCATTATTATCGTGCTCATTAAGGCGTTCCTCTTACTGATTATTCCCAAGTCTTTATTGTATTTTGTACCTAGAACCTGCATTACGCAAAGAAAAGTTACGATACTAATATAAAGGGAGTTAATTTACACTAGTTCGGTGTTTCGCTGGCCTAGCGTGTATACAGACACGTCTGAATAATTAAAAGTATGCGAGTGACTTATATTTCGACTGTGTTATGATGAGAGATGAGAATATCCACTTTTTAAAAATGCATCCAGTTAGTAACCTTATCTCCATTAGGCATATACCTTTGTTTTGCAACATCAGGAAAACCTGTCACCCCCTGGAAAATGGAGTCAGAGCAGTCTGTCCAGCCTTCATAGAGATGGGGTAGCTCAGAAACTTGCTACCCACAATGTACTGTCTGAAGACAGGGCAGCGCATCTCATATCACTCCCCTCACCCTCCACCATAGTGATGCTATCACCTGAGCTCTTACCGTGTGCTTCCACTAGGCCCGAGACTCAACCAGAGAGAGACCGGTTGCAGGATGTGTCCAGCACTCATTGATTTGGATCACTGGACTTCAGGTTCACACAGGGACCGGATGATTTGGGACCGGCTTGATCAGCATGGGCTCTGGGTCCTTCACCCTCAGGAGCTGACCCCTGCTGCAATACTGATGGCACCTGTACCCGTGCCACCATCAACAATGCATTGCTAGGCCCCCGTGACTCTTAAGCCAACTCTAAAAGGCATTGCATTCCTAATGCTCCACATAGCACTTCTGCTTAATTCCACTTCAAAAAGCAAACCCCAACAGCACCTCAAATGCTCAGAGCAAAAGCGCATCCAATTAAGATGCAGCAGTGCCAGATTCGTTAGAGCTACCTGTCCCAAGTGGGGTTTTAATAACCTGTGCGTGGGAGGGCTTTTTGTGCTTGTGCCATATGGCAAGCTTTTAATATCCTCCAGATCTTCTCCCCCAGAGGTTTGCAGCGCGACAGCTGCAGCCCCTTCGAATTCTAGCTCATTTCCAAAACCTAAATCTGTTCTGTCACAGGACACGGCAGGCCGCCATTTGATAGTATATGGAGAGAAACAGTATAAGCAACATAAAAAAAAAAACAAGGGCAGGTTCGAGAACCGCTTACGGCCACGTGCAGCACCAGCACAGCACAGGGAGGTGTGAAATGCAGACCTGAAGAGCAGGTAGGCCCGAAGCTCTTTCACAACTACGCAGCTGATCCAATACAAGATACCACCAAAACCCCTGGTTTCTCCCATATTTCCTAGACCGCCACGGCTAGGACTTAACTCCAGCCTAAGACCAAAACAGTCGCAGCTCGGTTCAGTCTAGGGCCAAAGTCCAGGCGTTGCGTTTAAGAAACAACTTGATAAAACCCTGCACCTGTTTCTCAAAACGCCGCTCGCCCTCCTCCTGCGCTCGGGGCAAGACACCCCCGCGGCATCTGCCGCTCACAAAGGGCAGCGTCCGGCTGTGCCGGGGGGAGGAGGATTCTTGCTGCGGGGAGGCAGCAACCGCTGCCACCTGCTCCGCTCAGAGGACCGCACAGGGGCCGCGCAGCGTTGCTCGTCCGCAGGCAGACCGCGGCTGTCCGGCTGTGGCAGGGCCGTGGGCATCCACGCGCTGCGATTCAAGCAGGCGGGCGAGGACGCAGGCTCGACGCCTAGCTCTTCGAGGCCCTTTGCGGGGAGCTGTGGTGGCGGGGCTGCCTCAGTGCCAGGTCTGTGCGGAGGCGTCCGTGTGCCCCAGGCGTGATGCTCCTCGTGCCCCAGGCGTGATGCCCTGCTCTGGGTCCCAAGCCAGATTTAGGCTGAAGCTACTTCAGCTACAGTTTAGGGCCTCACAATACGAGGGGCCTCGTTCCAATATGACAAAAATATACATAGATATGGCCCCACAGGTATTATTCATCTTGAGTTCGTATATTTTGTGCAGAAATAACGATAATTTATCTTTAAAATTTCATGAAGATCCATTTTTGTGGATTACTTTTATCGGGCCCCTTAAAACAGGCCTAGTCTAGGGGCCTCAGCACCTCACAACACAGCTCTGGTTCCAAGTGGGGCGACTCCGCGGGTGGCGGAAGTATGTCCCTCGGCGGAGCCCGTCCCCATCCCATCCCGGAAACATTGCCATGGTGCCGGGAAGCACCGGCGCCCTGAGGCGGCGGGCGCAGAAATGTGTCCCTCGAGGGAACCCGTCTCCACCCCATCCCGGAAGCACTGTCATAGCGCCCGGAAGCAGCTGCGCAGAAGCTTGTCCCTCCCCATCCCATCCCGGAAGCGTTGCCATATATGTCCCTCAGCGGACGCCGTCCCCATCCCATCCTATCCGCGTTGCCATGGCGCCCGGAAGCGTTGGCGTAGCAGCGTGTCCCTCGGCGGACGCCGTCCGCGCCCCACCCCGGAAGCGTTGCCATGGCGGCGGGCCGTTAGGCATGGCGCTGCTGGGCGGGCGGGCGCTGGAGCGGGCGCTGTCGCGACAGCGCGAGCAGGA